GCGCTCTCAAAGGTTGTGTGGTGGCTGTGTCTGGCGCCTGTCAGTGCCCTATGTTCGACTTTGCTGACACTTCATCTGTATCCTGGGGTGTTTTGCCACTCCTTTCTCTCTATTTATAAAAGTATGTGAGTTGCATAACTTGATTAGTTGCATAATTCACATTCACACAGTTCACAGGGGGGGGAGGGGTTAGGGTCGTTACTCGGAGAGGGGATCTAGGGACGTTAAACATTCACATACATAACACATGATAATGTTTCAATTGTTGATTGGTTTACCCAATATACTCCATTTAAACCAGTATAAAGTAGTAAACAGGGTGATAACATGACCTAATTGGCACCATATGGATGGGATAGATTAGATAGAATCAAAAGCATAACGCACAGATGATCGTTATGACAACCACATTCTCCTAGTAAGTAGCTAATGATTAACAGAATTTACTAGTAACTAATGAGAGCAGGAATTTTTTTCAAGAGACAAGGTAAACTCCATTACATTACCCCAGGAGTGGCTGGGAACTTGGTGGTGTTTTCCATGGAATTGGCTGGGAATGTATTGCCAAGAGACCTGCACAGCTTGTCCCAAATTCTAGAGGAGAATTCAGCAAATTCTATTTCATAACTAATAAACCAAGGGTGGGAAGAACAGCTAGAAAATGCAAACCAAAATCAATGCCTCAAAAAAAAAAAAAAAAAAAAAAAAAAAAAAAGGTTCACTAGCTGTAGGAATTTTTTCAATTCACATGCTACAAAGTAAAAGTTAAGAGATGCAAATTGGAATGGGAACAGCATTTACTCTATAGGTAAAGTAAACAAATAGTGGAACAACTTGAATTCCTCACCCAATCCCAGGAATGATGAGGAAGACTATGTAGAGAAATAAAAGTGTGTTACGGCCCTACTGGGACACAACCGGGTTCTTTACTGATGGTAATAGTTGTTTGGGTATCCGGCCCCAAGTTAGTAGAGGATTTCAAGGGGTGAGCCCCGTAATGCAGGTAAAATCAACAAGGAAGGTACATTAAATATACAAGATTAGCACTTTCCTCTATATATATAATTTCCACCACCATATATGAATAAAAAGTCACACACGGGAATTATTACTACACAAAATATATACAGCTTCGTCTTCCTCCGAAGACACTGGATACTCGGCGATGCTCACTCTGGGTAGCCTTTCCTGGTCTCCTCTGCCGTGGCCCAGAACCCACGATGAATCCACCCTGGCCACAGGCCAGCCAAACCACAATCCCACTGGGTGCCTCGTCGTGATGGCCTGCAACCACGGTCTAGCCTGTAGCTGGCAGGTACTAGTCGGCTTCGCTGTCAGGCCACTCCTCGACTAATACTAGGGTTGCGAGCCCTAGGCAGGAACCTCGTGTGACTCGCTGGTCACCCTCCTCGGTCGTCACCTTAGTGGGTGGTCTCTTCCACCAGCCAGCCCCGGATACGGCGAATCCCGTTACTGCCACTCCTCAGGCAGGCAATCACACACTCAGCAGAGTTCGTCTGGGGGTGGCTCACAGCTTCTACAAAGCAGACTGGTGAAGAGACCTTGGCTGCCTTGGGTAGACTCATTCCACGTACCTCCCAACCATGCTAGGTTGACTCTGAAAACAGACACGTCATCAGTACTGGGGACACTACATGGGACCACTAGGAAACATCACTTACTAGCTTAGACACAAACGTCCACCCCTTTGCTCCATAGATGACGTTCACTGTCTAAGCGCCACCTCGCCAGAGGTCAGCAGCGGCTACTTCGCGAGCCGACTAGGACAGGAATCCAGCGCCTGTGGCCGGCATATCCTGTCACCACTAGATGGCGTTGTCCATGTTGTGGGGTTTTCGGGAGCGGACTCACAGATGGCGTTGTCGTCATTGCTCCGTGCTCCGACGATGGACTTGGGTCCGTAACAAAGTGATTGAGCTAAACCTATAAGTTATATAAAATCCATATACAGGTATAGAAACCAATTATAGTGGCAGAGAGCCATTGGTGAAAAAACCAATTCACCAATGGCCAAAAGGTCATTGGTGAAATAGAGAGTAATCCAAAATACATTTTCTCCTATGCAAAATCTAAAACAAAGTATTTCTAGTATTTTGCCCTTGTGCACGGGAGATGGAACTTTCACAGATGTTAACAAAAGGGTGAAATACTGATGGTACAGTATGATTCTGTTTTCAGTAAACCATTGAACACACTGAAGATCGATAACCCAAACGTATTCATGAATGTTATGCCATCATCAAATCATATATCAGATGTGGAAGACTGATGTATACACAGATTTTGTAAAAGCTTACAAAAGATTCATATGAATCGTATGATACGTATGAATCATAGTGTGGTTGGCAGTCTGGTTGACCAGGAGGCCTGGTCACACACCGGGTTACAGGTACAGTACCTTGATCCTTGGAATCACTACGTGTTAATCCAATGTTACAATGAATTATTAATTAATATAAATTGTTATATAATCACCCAGGAAATAGCAAAAATATCCTAAATACAAGTACAGGGGTACCTTAGTTTTCCTAGTTAATCCATTCCTAGACGGTACGAAAACCCAACCGAAACGAATTTTCCCATAAGAAATAGTGTAAATTGAATTAATCCGTTCCACACCCAAATATATTGACTAAAAAATACATTTTATACTGAATAATACTCTTAGGTACCTTACCTTTATTGAGGACTTGTTGGCATATGGAAGACAGTGAGGAAGGGGAGTCCCTTTCCATAATAACAGCAGTGATGTTGTGTTCCTCATATATAGGTCTACAATTTGGAAAGAGCAAATTATAATTTTTAAATTATAATTTGATACAGTTTTCAAGTGCAGTTTTCGAGCCAAATACTGTAATGGGTCTAACTTGACAATTCATTTGTCAACAACTAAACTTTATGTAATACAGTATTCTCTTTCAGAATGTTACTTTTGACTATTCTACTGTACTGTACTTGATAAAATTCAATGCAGTATTTCAAAAATTAGTTAAATTCTGAAATTTTGGAATTTTTGAAACTTTGCCATTTTCTGTGTTATGTTTTGTTTTCATGCAGGTTACAATGCTGAAACTAGGTTGAAGGGTTATCTTATATGTTAGATTTTGTAAATAAATTTTAATAAGAATGAGACATTGTGAATGTTGTATGAATGAATGCCATTCATGTAAGGTACGAGATTGAAAGCTGTACCTAAAGCATTGCTAACACCACCCATTCTTACTTTCTTATAAATAATGGAAGTGCAGGGGTTTATACAGTAATGGTCACCAGTTCTAACTACATGGAACAAGAAATACACCTTAGGGTACAATTTTACAAAAAAGGATTTTATTTAACATACTAGTTTTCCTCACACTTAGAACGGGGGGGTTGGGGGGGGGTTACTTGGATTCCCCGCAGGATTGATAGACAAAAAGGGGGGAGGGAGGTTCCTTCTCCCTCTACAACCTGGGATTTAAGGTCATTATTCCACTCCTCATAGGTCACTACAAAGGGCCTGGGTTTACAAATGGATATACAATATAAATGTGGATGTGACACACAGCTGAGCACATACACCTGAATTAACAACACACCACTCTCCCTACACACAGGGTTCCAAAAATCCTTATTTCCACAAATCCCTATCTCAAATTCCTATTATTTCCACATTCCTATGAACATCTATAATACTGCACTTATCCAAAAAAAAAAAAAAATCTTCGCGGCAGGGGATCGTATTCCAGGGACCATAGGATTAAGGACTTGCCCGAAACGCTACGCGTACTAGTGGCTGTACAAGAATGTAACAACTCTTGTATGTATCTCAAAAAAAAAAAAAAAAAAAAAAAAAAAAAAATAATTTGTTGGAGACCATCCACAACACTGGTCTTGTTCTCACTGCCTCCCTCTCCCAAGTGACTGATAGGGGCTTACGCATGTCCCTGCCTGCCTGGTTCCAATAATGTCCCATCCCTATACATGTCATACACATTTCCCAATACTTCATTTCTATGCCTTATAACCGGTGGGAGCTCGGCCGACCGGGGGAGCCGGTCAGCCGAGCTGACAGCACGCGGGACTTGTGATCCTGTGGTCCTGGGTTCGATCCCAGGCGCCGGCGAGAAACAATGGGCAGAGTTTCTTTCACCCTATGCCCCTGTTACCTAGCAGTAAATTAGGTACCTGGGTGTTAGTCAGCTGTCACGGGCTGCTTCCTGGGGGGTGGAGGCCTGGTCGAGGACCGGGCCGCGGGAACACTAAAGCCCCGAAATCATCTCAAGATAACCTCAAGAAATCATCTCAAGATAATGTTCCAGACTGTTTTTCTACATTTAACTGTTTTTTCTCTATATTTTCTTGCATTGAATCTGCTTTTTCTTAGCCATTTTATCCCTTTTGTTTACATTTTTTTTAGGGGCCGGCCATTTTTTTTTTTTTTTTAGGAGATTACATTTTCCTGTTGAGATGATGCTCTGTGCATCTGAAAGGCGTCAGAGTTCCAGACTGTTTTTCAACATTTAACACTGCTATTTCTCCCTATACAAGGGTCTCTCTTACATTCAGGCTCCTTTATTGTACTACTCACTTCATTCTCCTATCACTCATTACACCTTAGGTGTTTCCATTTTGATGTAACAGATCCCATGTATTAAGGACTTGCTACCTCATATGACATCCCTTTCCCCATTTTCATTCATCAGTTCAATTGACTAGCAATCTAAGAATCTATAAAATTCTCAATTTCATTTGTCATTTCATGTCATTTTAATATTACTTTTTTCTACATTGATCTTGATCGTCAACTTTCTACTCTTGCACCATACTCTCTCAAAATCTTGCAATTCTTTGTTACTTGCCAAAGACCACTACTGTCTCTAAAATATTGTGGTGATTTAATTATTCTGGGCATTTTTTTTTTATTCATGTACCTAGAGTTTGCAAGTCTGTCAAATTTTTGTATTGAAGAATGCAAATTAAGATTGTTTTCTTTGCAGGTTGCTGGTCCACAGAAGCTGCCAGTCATGTACCTGATTGACTCCATCATGAAGAATGTTGGTCAGGATTATATTAAGCTTTTTGGCCACAACATCATAAGCACATTTAGTTGTGTTTTTGAAAAGGTAAGTTCAGATTAGGTTAATTTCTATAATTTGCTTGAGGCTTAAGAGACCAGGGTACATGGGAATTCAAAATTGTTCGATTGGAATTAAAATTGAATGGTTATGTGTACTGCATAAGACCTCCAACTGGTTCCAAATTCAGGTTCGTAGCCCAAAAGGAAAGAGAGAAAAGTATATACTGTATATGCAAAATTATTAAAAAATAAACATCTTCAAAAAGCCCTATCAAATTTGACATTCTACACATATGGCATTTTTAGTGTACTGAACTATCACAATAGCCCTTTAAATCTTCATAAGTGTCAACTCTGTTGACATTTAAGTCTGCAATAGTCTAATTTGCAGATATAGAGGACACAGCAAACCTCCACACCGATATAAAATCTTTCAATGGGCCATAGAAAATAGCATGATGTTACCTTACCTTGAGGTTACCTTGAGGTGCTTCCGGGGCTTAGCGTCCCCGCGGCCCGGTCGTCGACCAGGCCTCCTGGTTGCCGGACTGATCAACCAGGCTGTTGGACGCGGTTGCTCGCAGCCTGACGTACGAGTCACAGCCTGGTTGATCAGGTATCCTTTGGAGGTGCTTATCCAGTTCTCTCTTGAACACTGTGAGGGGTCGGCCAGTTATGCCCCTTATGTGTAGGGGTGTTATGTGTGTTTAATGAGGATAAGTCCCAATTACTGCATTATGGAAAAAACTGCAACATGAAAGCAGAAACCACATATAAAACAGTCAAACCACACTATTTTAATAAAAAAGCAGTGTGCATGTATAAGGTTTAAAAAAATTGTTGGAAAACCTTACTTTTAATGAACACAAAGTTGCTGTCACAACTAAAAGAAAATTACTGGATAACAACAACATTTCAAATGAGAGATGGCAAGCATTAATTCTCTCTAGAGTAGGATTGGGACCGACTAGAATACCTAAATCTGTATCTTCTTGAGTGCAGGCTGGATAGATGCATAATATCTCTGCATTCTCCCTCGTCTCATCACTATCGACTTGATAAGGGTCCAGGACTGGCCGAAATGTCGCCTTCTCTTTAATTCCTATTCAACCTTTCCTCGTCCCCACTCACATAGACTTATTCGGCTGAAGGCAAAGAGTTAAGCTCTTCTTTAGTAAATACAGAGATAAAATATTTATTAAAAATACTACTCATCTCTTTGGCATTATCCTTTATCTGACCTGTCTCAGTTTTTAATGGACCTATCCTTTCTCTAATCTTTGTTCGACCTCTAATGATAAGAGGTGTACTGTACAAGTGGATGAATGGACATACATCAAATGATACATCAGTACAATGTGACATACATAAAATGTGATACATCAAATGAACAAATCCACAAGGGCTGTGATTAGGGTTTGAACTTACGTCCGGGATGATCCCAGGCACGCCTTAGTCAATTGTGTCATGACATGGTTAAAAGAATTGCAACCGGGAATGCCACTGCTCTCACACGGATTCTTTTAACCATGTTGTGGCGCAATCAACTAAGGCACGTCTGGGATCATCCCAGACGTAAGTTCGAACCCTCATCACGGCCCTAGTGAATTTGTTTACCTTCAAAGGATGAAGGTTTACCTTTCAAAGGATACCTGATCAACGAGGCTGTGACGCACGTCAGGCTGTGAGCAACCGCATCAAAGAGCCTGGTTGATTAAACCAGTAACCAGGAGGGACATTGATCCCTGTAATCTTTAACAGGTAGACAGGGAGGGTGTAATATTGTTGCACAATAACAGCCTCATTCAGAGCTAGAGAAATTACTGACCTGATAAATATGCAAAGGTCTTTTATTGCCTTTGCACATTTCAGCCTTCCTAATGAGCAGAACCCAGATTGTAATAGTCAACAAAACACAGTCCCGAAGGTACTGTATTTGCTCCGGTACTTTTTCTCATCCTTTCAGACAGACAAGGGTACACCTTGGAGTTACCTTGAGTTGTTTCGGGGCTTAGCGTCCCCCGTGGCCCGGTTGTCGACCAGGCCTCCTCGTTGCTGGACTGGTCAACCAGGCTGTTTGACGCAGCTGCTCGCAGCCTGATGTATGAATCACAGCCTGGTTGTGTAGTGGAAGCGTGTTGAACAGTCTCGGGCCTCTGATGTTGATAGAGTTCTCTCTGAGTACCTGTTGTACCTCTGCTATTCAACGGGGGTATTTTGCACAACCTGCCATGCCTTCTAGTCTCATGTGGTGTTATTTCTGTGTGCAGGTTTGGGACCAGCCCCTCCAATATTTTCCACGTATAGATTATTATGTATCTCTCCCGCCTGCGCTCGTGAGAATACAGATTTAGGCTTTTTAGTCGGTCCCAGTAGTTTAGATGTTTTACTGAGTGGATTTTGGCAGTAAAGGATCTCTGCATGCTCTCCAGGTCAGTAATTTCTCCAGCTTTGAAAGGGGCTGTCATTGTGCAACAGTATTCCACTAGAGAGCACTAGCGTCTTGAAAAGTATCATCATCGGTATATCATCTCCAGTGTGTAAGGTTCTTGTTATCCAACCTGTCACTTTTTTGCAGTTGTGACGGCTACTTTATTGTGTTCTTTGAAGGTAAGATCTTCCGACATAGTACACCCAAACAGTCTATACAGTCTATAGTAATGTAACATCCTTTGCAGATGACATTAGGATTTTTGTGAGGGTAGACAATATAGAGGACACAGCAAATAAGAATAAATGCCAGCTACTGCACTATGGAGAAAACGAAAATATAAAAACTAAAACCCCACACAACTTGGTCAAACTACACTGTTAAAAGAAAAAGCAATGTAAACTATTTGGGAATAATCATAACCGAAGACCTTACTTTCAAAGAACTAAAATAAAGGGAATACAGTATCCACTCGATTTAATGACATGTATGGGCTGTACCCAGGTCATAAAATCCGGGACTTACCACTTGGTTGGTTAGCTTGTTCCCTGACTGGTAGGTGGGTGGGTAGGAAGTAGGCTGGTTGGATGGATGGGTAAATGAATAACTGGCAGGTGGACTGGCTGGCTAGTGGGAGGGCAGGGTGGGTGGATGGATTGGTTGCTAACTGGCAGGTGGGCAGGATTCAGGCAGGGTTAGCAAGTGGGCGTCTGGATGGATGTATTGGTGGCTGGTTGGTTGGAAGGCGGGTGAGGTGGGTAGGTGAATGGGCAGTCAGTCAGGTTGGCAGGAAGACCGGCTGGGTTAGTGGGCAGGCTTGCAGGCAGGCAGATGGATTGGTTGGGTGGGCTGGCAGGCAGGCAGGCAGACTGGCTGGGTGAGTGGGCGGGCGGATGAATTGGTGGCTGGGCGGGTGGATGGAGGGGCTGGGTGAGCAGGCTTGGTGGGTTCAGGTGGGTAGGCGAGCGGAGACTATCACAGGTGGGACTAAAGAGCCAGAGCTCAATCCCCGCAAGCACAAGTTCCGGCGACTTATCTGTAATTGCTTAAGATATGGCAGTGGTAGTGAGGTGATGGTGATATGGCAGTGATAGTGAGGTGATGGTGGTACAGTGAATTAGTGGCAGCACAACACCACAGTAGTGATGGTGGTGGTACAGTGAACTAGAGTGGCAGCTCAACACCACAATAGTGATGATGATGGTACAGTGAACTAGAGTGGCAGCACAACACCACAGTCCACAGTCAGGCAGGCATTGGGAATGCCTGCCTGACTTGACATTGGGAATGCCTGCTTGACTTGTAATTACCTAAGTGTGGTTACAGGATGAGAGCTACGCTCGTGGTGTCCTGTCTACCCAACACTGTCTTATAACGCTTTGAAACTACGGACGGTTTTGGCCTCCTCCACCTTCTCACCTAACTTGTTCCAACCGTCTACCACTCTCTGCAAAAGTGAATTTTCTTATATTTCTTCGGCATCTTTGTTTAGTTAGTTTAAATCTACGACCTCTTGTTCTTGAAGTTCCAGGTCTCGGGAAATCTTCCCTATCAATTTAATCAATTCCTGTTACTATTTTGTACGTAGTGATCATATCACCTCTTTTTCTTGTCTTCTAGTTTTGGCATGTTTAATGCCTCTAACCTCTCCTCGTAGCTCTTGGCCTGCCTTCAGTTCTGGGAGCCACTAAGTAGCATGTCTTTGCACCTTTTCCAGTTTATTGATGTGCTTCTCAAGATATGGGTACTGTACCACACAACTGCTGCATGTTCTAGCTTTGGCCTAACAAAAGTCGTGAACAATTTCTTTAGTATTTTGCCATCCATGTATTTAAAAGCAATTCTGTAGTTAGAAAGTGTAGCATAGGCTCCTCGCACAACGTTCTTTATGTGGTCCTCAGGTGATAGTTTTCTACCTAGAACCACCCCTAGATCTTTATCAGAATTCTTTAAAGATTTCTCACATAATTTATAGGTTGAGTGGGGTCTCTGTTCTCCTATTCCACATTCCATAACATGGTATTTATTCACATTAAATTCCATTTGCCAAGTGGTGCTCCATATACAGTACTTGTTTTGTCCAGATCATCATGAAGGGCATGACAATCATCTAAGTTTCTTATCCTTCCTATTATCTTAGCATCATCAGCAAACATGTTCATATAATTCTGTATTCCATCTGGTAGATCACTTATGTAGACAATGAACATCACTGGTGCAAGAACTGAACCCACTGGTACTCCACTTGTGACATTTCTCAGTCTGATACATTGCCTCTGATTACTGCCCTCATTTTTCTGTCAGAAAATTTTTCATCCATGTTAGAAGCTTACCTGTCACCCCTCCAATATTTTCCAGTTTCCAGAACAACCTCTTATGTGAAACTGTTCAAAGCCTTTTTTAGGTCCAGATAGATGCAGTCCACCCAACCATCTCTTTCCTGTAAAATCTCTGACTCGATCATAGAAACTGAATGCTGTTCTCTGGAATTCTTATTGTGTCTGGTTCTCTGGAGATTTCATTTTGTACAAACACACTTTGGAACTTTTTGTTTAATGTTTCACACATTTCCTTTTAATTTTCCATGTATCTGTCCCCCATTTTCAACCTCTGAATATTATCCTTTACCTGCAGCTTGCTTTTAATGAATTTATAGAAAAAGCCTGGATCTGATTTACATTTGTCTGCTATACCATTCTCAAAGTTCCTCTCTGCCTCTCTCCTTACTGACGTGTAGTTGTTTCTTGCATCTTTGTATCGCCGGTATATTTGGGGGTTTGGCATCTTCCTATAAGGATTCCATGCTTGTCTTTTGATATCTGGCTCTCTCCCAATTTCTGTTGAACCAGCCCTGTTTCCTAGGTCTGCATCTCTGTTTTGGTATGAATGTTTGTGCCTTCATCGTATATTTCACAAAATTTGGCATATATCTTATTTACTTCCTTGCCTAGCAACAAGTTACTCCAATTATACCCATGAAATTTTTTTCCAAGTTCCCCATAGCGTCCCCCCTTGAAATCAAGTTTTAACAACTGTTTCAATGTCCCCATTCTCTACTAGATTATATCGCATAGTGTATTTAATGTCCAAGAGGACGTGATCACTTTTTCCCAAGGGAGGAAGGTACTGGATGTCAAATACCTCTTCTTCTTTCCTGGTGAATACTAGATCCAGTACTAACAGAGCATCCCTTCCCTCATTCTTGTGGCCTGCTTGACGTGTCGATATATGAATGTCTCCAAGATGAGGTTAACAAATCTGCCTGTACAAATGCCCTCTTAGGCCTCCCAGTCTATTGCCTTAAAGTTGAAGTCCCCCAATACCAACAATCGGGATTTATCTTTGTAAGCTCTTACCATAATCTCTCTCATGACCATTATGAGGCCCTCTCGTTTGTTATCCAGTTCTTATTTTGTCCATGTGTTGCTTGATGGTGGGCTATAGACATTTAAAATTATCATCTTATCATATTGATTCCAGACCTGCAATGCCATTATGTCAATATCTCAAAGGTTTTCAATTAACTCTCTTACCTTTAGGTGTTCTTTCACCAGCAATGCCACTCCTCCCTTCCTAGTTTTCCTGTCATGTCTCCAAACTGAATAGCCCCTTGGGAATACAACCTCATTTAAAATATTTTCAAGTTTCGTCTGTTAATGAGACAATTTTGGGACTTATATTATATAGCTGAATTATATCCTTTAACTCCAATATTTTTTATCTCACTCCATCACTGTTGGTATATACTATTTTCAGGAACATGTTCCCCTTCCTTTAATGATTTTGTTGCTTTGTCCTTATGTACCATTTCACAAGCTTTCCAGTCCCTGAAACTTTGTAGAAAAAAAGAATTCCTTTCTCTTTCATTTCTATCCCCTTTTAGATGTTTTGCTCCAATAAGGTTCATTTTCAGCTTTTCTCTGTCCTCTTTTGAGAGGTCTTGTCTTATTGACCAAAGTTTGCTATCCTCATCACATTGCAGTTTTCTGGTATTCCGAAGCACTTCTGTCACATACTTCACTCCATTAAACGTCACCCTTAAGGGGCGGTTCATGTCTCTCTCATATTTTCCAATCCTCCTAAAATCACTGACATGCTCCTTTGAATTTAGGCCTTCTCCTAATCCTACTAATTTTTCTGATTTTCATCTCTTCTGCTGCTCGGTCCACCTTAGATGAAATTTCCATCTCTAAACATCCAAAAGTTATTATGGACTCACTTCTATCTGCAGTGTTTTGAATTAGTTTACTGTTGGTTACCAGTTCTTTCCTAATTGCTTGCCTAAGATCCGCTTCTTGTTTGTAATTTCTGGTTTTGACTTTCAAACACACTTCTTTGATTGTGTCTCTCTCTTTTGCAACTTGTGCATACGTCTCTTTTATTTCTTCTTTATACTTTTCTAGTTCTTTATTAACCTCATCTATTTGAGTTGCTAATGAAGTTTCTCATTGCATCTCCTTGCCTAACTCCATGTTAGCCCTCAGGGTCCCTTGGAGTTGTTCACCATATGAGTATTTTCTTGTTTTTTATCTTGAGATGATTTCGGGGGTTAGCGTCCCCACGGCCCGGTCCTCGACCAGGCCTCCTTTTTGTTACACACCCCCAGGAATCAGCCCGTAGCAGCTGTCTTAACTCCCAGGTACCTATTTCCTGCTAGGTAACAGGGGGCATTAGGGTGAGAGAATTTTTTTGCCCATTTTTTCTCCGCCTCCACCGGGGATCGAACCCAGAACCTCAGGCCTACGAATCCGAAGCACTGTCCCCTCAGCTGTCAGGCGCCCATTTCATTTCTTAATTATTTTGTTAATTACATTTTTTAATTTCTTCAAATTCCCTACTCTTCACTTTCCATGCCTCATTATCCTTTACTAGTTCCTTGATGTGTGTGTTCCTCTTGTATCCTTACCTTATTACTCAAGCTGGTAATTTCCTTACCTTGCTGGAAAATACTTCCTTTTAAATTACAAAACTCAACCTTGAGACGTTCATTTGCTTGTTCTAATTTAATTATCTTTTCTTCATAATTCTTTAGTATGATAATTCCTCAATAACACTAACCTGCCAAGAAAACCACCTTTCATTACATCTTGTTGCGAGAAACCTGCAAAACATTCCTTTGTTGGGGTACTGTCCTTTCCTGTGGTGGTGGCCATCTTTGTTGACATTATGCTGTTTTGAAAGATCAACTTTTCTAGCAAATATTTTTAATTCACAGACTCTTTTAATTCACAGACTTCTTATCTACTGGTTTCTTTTTAAATTCCATACACCTTTATGTATTCTGGGACACCACTTGCAACCCTCACTCTACTCCCAACACTTAGATAATTTAAATAATCCTGGAGACTGCAGCAGTGTGACTTCTCAATGTGATGCCACTCACCTTGTGATTGTGAATGCCTGCCTGACCTGTGATTGGGAGTGCCTGCCTACCTGCCTGACTTGTGATTGGGAATGCCTGCCTACCTGCCTGACTTGTGATTGGGAATGCCTGCCTACCTGCCTGACTTGTGATTGGGAATGCCTGCCTGCCTGACTTGTGATTGGGAATGCCTGCCTGTCTGACTTGTGATTGGGAATGCCTGCCTGCCTGACCTGTGATTGGGAATGCCTGCCTGCCTGACTTGTGATTGTGAATTCCTGCCTGACTTGTGATTGTGAATTCCTGCCTGACTTGTGATTGTGAGTTCCTGCCTGACTTGTGATTGTGAGTTCCTGCCTGACTTGTGATTGTGAGTTCCTGCCTGACTTGTGATTGTGAGTTCCTGCCTGACTTGTGATTGTGAGTTCCTGCCTGACTTGTGATTGTGAATTCCTGCCTGACTTGTGATTGTGAATTCCTGCCTGACTTGTGATTGTGAATGCCTGCCTGGCTCGTGATTGTGATTGCCTGCCTGGCTCGTGATTGTGATTGCCTGCCTGGCTTGTGATTGCCTGCCTGACTCGTGAATGCTTGCCTCGTGATTGTGAGTGCCTACCTCTGACTACATGCTGCATAGCAGGATCAGTGAAATCTGAAGGGAAAATGTAACCGCTGGTCTAGCGAAGGCACAGTTGTCACAACAAACATAATACTGGCCTCCAGTTTAACGTGTCGGACTCTGTAAACAGGACTTAATGGCCAATGGCTCGGTAAATAAGGCACCAGTTAATGATCTAAAATTCGGTTGTTAGAACTGACGAAATGTTAGAACATATTTACTGAATGGTAAATAAGGTCTTTAAATCGAGTGAATACTGATATAGAGAACATATGGGAACTATTCCCGTTTCAGACATGGTATAGCACCTAAGCTATTGGGATTTCCTCAGAGCTCTCCAAATGTACTCCTTAGTAAGGGGATGAGAGAGTTATCAAATAATATACACATGGAAAATGCTGGAGGGCCAGGCCATATCATACTGGAGTGAATGATATGGAAGGAAAAGCAGAATAGGGCTAGTGAAGAACAAAGGTGCAATAAGCACAGAGGAACACTGCATGCACATCAGAGGGCCACGGTTGTTCACCATCCTCCCAGTGAGCATAAGAAATATTGTCAGAACAAACATGGATGCATTTAAGAGAGAACTGGATAGTTTTCTTTAAGAGCTGGACTAGCTGGGTTGTAGTAGATACGTGGGCCTGCGGGCCGATCCAAGCAACAGCCTGTTGGACTCTTCCAACAGGCTAAGATAGTTGTCAAGGAATCTATTAGTAATATAATAATAATGACAGGCATCCATCCTGGTCAATTTTATTGTCATTATTAGCTGAAAAATGAGATTATAATTTATCATTAGCTTAAAGTTTATTGGCTGTTGGCTTTGCTATAAGTATTCTCTTTTTATCCTTGGCAGGTCGATGAAAGGACCAGAAAGAAGCTTTACGAGCTGAGACACACTTGGAATGAGGTATTCCCAAAGTCTCGCCTGTATGGGCTGGATGTAAAAGTACAGTCCTTGGACCCTGCGTGGCCTCTACCAACAGGTTTGGCGATGACTTCCCAGTCGACCAGCAAGCCCAATATTCACATCAACCCAAACATCATCAAGGTAAGCATCTCCGAAAGTGTAAAAATGGATGCCTGAGGTTTTGATTTTCATGTTTTAGAAGAATGCATCAAGATGATGCATTCTTAAAGATGGTGATTTGATGACATAACACATGTGGTTATACATGTGGCAAGTTTTATCATGGTAGGAGTGCACTGTATTTTGGTATTTTATGGAAAGAAGGATTTATAGTAGAGAACATTGCAGGACTAGAGAGCAGTGTAAAGCAGAGAACTGTAAAAACAATTCATAAAGTTTTTATTGAAATTTGTTTTTGCTTAGAAAATGCACAAAGGCACGTTTAAAGTTTTCACTATACAAAAATGCTGTATAATATTAGTGGTCAAAAAATAGTAAAAATTGGCTTATGTTGGATGAAGCAGAAGCAGTGTGTTGAGATATTCTGTTCAAGCTGGTGTCCACTGTTCAGTACTGCATTGGCACTGTATTGCATATATTATTGCACCATATTGCATTGCATGAGAATTCAGTCATTTTAAACTGTTATGAAATAGTGGGTTAGGCAGCATTTCCCATTGTGTATGGGGTTTTCAGAATTAAGTTGGGAGGGGGAGGAACACCTGGAATTGCACGAGACATTTCGTACAGGGTGATTTCGTACAGGCAAGCATGCTTTTGGATGTAGGAGTCGTGCACAGATGCAAACAGATGCACCACATACACCTCAACAGTCCCTTCCCTTCCAGCCCCTTCTAGGAAACAGGAGTAACTTGAGCTTAAGTGATAATTAAGAGGTAACAGTAGAAAAAGGAGTGATAAATTTGGCCAATTAAAATTGGTATTGAACACCAACCACCAACTTCTTGTTTGAAGCGAAGGAAACCCATCTATGAGGCACAGTGTCTTAAATTAAATAGTAAAGTAATTATGGATGTATTAAAAATATACAATAATACGAGTCTAAAAGTCAGGAACTGTGTTTAGTTTCCACAAAATTTTTCTGATGAACATCCTGTGAGAAGACTTCAAACACCCTTCATAACCACAACATGTGGATATAGGTAGTTGCAGGTTTTTTTTTTTGGGGGGGGGGGGTCTACCTTGTGTAGCTTCCGGGAATCAACAGCCCCGTGGCCCGGTCAGAAACCAGGGCTCCCGGTTGATCGTCTGGTCAACCAGGCTGTTGGAAATAGCTGCTCACAGCCTGACAGATCACAGCCTTAGGTATTCTTTGGAGGTGTTCTCCAAAGTTATGCTCCTTACTTGTAGCATAAGTGTTAAAAATTCTTGGGCGAGTCACAGGAATTTTTACCCACTTGGTTTTAATTAATTTTTCAAGTGTTTTAACTACCTTGTTAAGGATACAGGCCTATAAGTAAGAGGATCTTTACTGCTACCATTTCTGTAGATTGGAACTGTTTGCTTTTTTTCTATATATCTTCTGTTACATGTACACAAAGCTGACTGAAAAATCAACTGAAGTGGTGTGTTGAACTCAAATGAGAATTCTCTCAAAACCCCAAGGTGAAACTCCATCTGGGCATTTTTACCCTCTGATTTTTACTGTTTCTTCACCTTGTCAGTCAAGCTGGTAGTTTCCTCCTGCTGCTGTCAAATATTTCTTTTGAATATAAGTAACTTTCCTATCAAACCCTCAAATATCACTGACCTGCCAAGGAAACCTTTATTTGTTTCTTGTTTAATGAAACCCTTGAAGTATTCATCACTTGTTGGTGCTTCAGTGGACGAATGAATCGAGTCTGAAATTTTTTTGTTTTGTTTTGGCACGTCTTCTGCCTCTGTTAGGCATCACCTTCTCATTCCTCAGATTTGTATTGTTTTATTAACAAACTCTACTCCACTTTGTATTGCTGATCTCTGTATATTTATGGTATTGGGAACACCACTTGCATACCTCACTCCAACACTACCACCCCAGGTAAATGGTGTGATGCACTTGCTGTTCTCTGGACTGTATATATGTGTGTGTGTGTGTGTGTGAAGTATTTAAAAATGACAGTGAAGGCCAGAGGTGCTAGACCAAGGGGAAGTACATCGTGGAGAGTTGCAAATGATGGGCCGATCTTTAACACGAGCGATGAATCACTTAAGTCAGACCATTGCTCAATTAGATAGATGTTCATTGTCAAAATATTGTTTGAATAAATAATTGCAAACGCCTTTTGCATACATCTTAAAAAGTATAAATTAATATCGTGTCAAAACTTGATTCATTAATGGTCGATCATTTATTATTTGTTAGTTTACACAATTGCAGTGCATTATTTACAGTCATAATAATAATAGCCTAATATGTAACCATTGTGTACTGTAAATGTAGAAATTAAATTATCTTTAGAAATTCAGTGATTTATAATTTTTTACCGTTGTGGCTTGAGTTAATGGAAATAAAAAACTAATATTTTTCAATTAGAGAAGTGAGACTTAAATTGGCAGAAAATAGTGCATGAAATCAGAATGAGACAATTCAAAGGATGAACTATTATTCAGTACGGGTTACTCTTGTTTGACAAGTTTGCTCCTGATCTTTTCATATCATATTTGAGACAATTGATAGTGGAAAGATTGCAACATTGTGTACATTAGCAAAGCTTTAGATACTGTGCTCTCACGAAAAGTGGAGGCGGTTGGTATTGGGGATGCTATTCTAAGTTAAGTGAAGTGCCATAGGGATTTCACTGTCCTGGGACTTCTATTGATTACCGTTTTTCGATGCAGAATATAATTCTGATTTAGATGCAGAATTAAATAACAGTATATGGAAATTTGCAGATGATACAAAAATAGGGCAGGGGTTTTAAATTACTTCAGGACAATTTAAATAGGCTTTTTAAATGCGTGAAAGATATGTAAATGCAGTTTAATGCTAACAAAATAGATTAAGTACAAAATAGATTCATTGACATGTATGGACCCGAGAAGTAATGTACAAATGACAAATTGTTGTGGGGTTCCCTATGAATTAAGATGGTGTATCTAGAAATGGCCAATAATTATCCTTTTCAGCATTCTGTACTAGTAAATTTTTATAGAAGAGATTAGGTCATTGTTTCATAAACATTTTTACACGTGACCAAATATGCGAAAATGTGAACATACCTTACATTTTTGTGTGTGATTTTATGCACCTAAATATGGAATAATTCCTGGGTTTTATTTTACAAATTACTTTTTAAACATTGCATGTACGAATTTTAAAACAATGGAAGTAGTGGATTTCCAATTACCATTTGAAAAGATAATGCTTAAAGTAAATTTTCAATCTTTTATACAAAGTCTTTCAAGATTGACAATATCAGAACTCCCAAAACCCTCTCCAGGTATACAAGAACTTTATTAAATAAAATACTATCAAAACTAATTGAATATTCTGATTAAAATATTTTTACTGTTAACAACTCATTGGAATTTATCAATGACAACCTGAAATAGTATCCAACAGAGGTGACAGGTGAGCCAAATGTAAAGCTTGTAGGTCACGGATCCCACAGTACTAATAATAGGTCTCACGGGATAGTTAAACATGTGTATTTACCAAGCCAATATACGCCAAGGAAGGTGATGAGGGAGTAAGATCCTCATGATGTGACGAGATCCTCATTAGTTAGGTCTTGATAAGGTTGATCAAGATGGATTTTTCTCAGCTTAGTGCAAGTAGAGGAATCCTGAGGATCAAATATATTCAAATTGTATAAACAAGTGCTGAATTTGTCAGCTTAATTTACAAATGTTGGTACTATATCGGCTCTTAACTATTGTAAGCTCCCTCTAAACCTATGGGGGGGGGGGCTACTTTAAGGTTTACTTAAAGTAGCATTGCTGTAAGGTGGTGAAAATTTCCTCAGGTCTTAGACTATAGTTATATATATAGGTCAAGCTTTTGCCAGAATATTGAGGTTAGGTCACACTGCTAAGCTTTTTTACTCAAATTTAAACAAATCCATATGTATATTAAATTGAAAAATCTATAAATACATTACAGTATATTCTTTCAAATTGAATAATTTATAAAGATTATGCATATAGTGGGATCCTTTCAGTGATACAGGACTAAAGTCATATATCAAAGCTAAATTCTAAAAGCTTAAAGCCTTGAAACTAGGCAACCACTGTTATGTCAAGGTTTTGAATGAAGTTCACTTCTTGCTTGGGTCTCCCGTCATATGAAATAAGAAAATATATTGTTTATAGTCAGGTTCAGGTCTAGTTAGTCTTGCAAATAAGGTGTATTATCAAAATCAAATTGGTCTTTCTCAGCCTGGAGTGGTTAAGGGGACATCTTTAGCGTCATCTTCATCAGGTCACAAGAGCAAGAAGGACCTCGAAATCCTCAAACGCGAGGAACAGATTTTGGAATTAGAACGTCAAAAGTTGATGTTGGAAAAGAAGAAAATACTCTTGGAGCAGGTATGCTTTACTTGTTGAAGCCATACTGAAAAGTACTGTAATTTCTTTGATATCCATATGGAACAAAGTGAATATCTTGGCTGCTGCAGCTATGAGCTTTTGTTATCAGTTGGGTTGTGTTTGGGAATAACATGCCTTTGGAAGTATTTTCAAGAGTAAACCTGAAATGCACTCATGTGTTGATCTTCATATTTGTGCCTTTGATTGTTAATGTATTATTATAGATTGTTAATGTATTATTATATAAGGTTGTGATAATTATTGACATGAATTTTATATAAATCTGTGTTTTAAGGGTGGGAGTAGTTTGGTACAGTATAGTTATTTAATGAAAGTGGAAGTTGACTTGTTACCTGTTACTATCAATAGTGGCACTATTATGGGAAAGTAATGATCTCTCTCTCTTTCTCCTCGGCTACACTCACTACTGTGGTGTCTCCTCGGCTACACTCACTACTGTGGTGTCTCCTTGGCTACACTCACTACTGTGGTGTCTCCTTGGCCACACTCACTACTGTGGTGTCTCCTTGACCACACTCACTACAGTGGTGTCTCCTCGGCTACACTCACTACTGTGGTGTCTCCTTGGCTACACTCACTACTGTGGTGTCTCCTCGGCTACACTCACTACTGTGGTGTCTCCTTGGCTACACTCACTACTGTGGTATCTCCTCGGCTACACTCACTACTGTGGTGTCTCCTTGGCTACACTCACTACTGTGGTGTCTCCTCGGCTACACTCACTACTGTGGTGTCTCCTTGGCTACACTCACTACTGTGGTGTCTCCTTGGCCACACTCACTACTGTGGTGTCTCCTTGACCACACTCACTACTGTGGTGTCTCCTCGGCTACACTCACTACTGTGGTGTCTCCTTGGCTACACTCACTACTGTGGTGTCTCCTTGGCCACACTCACTACTGTGGTGTCTCCTTGGCCACACTCACTACTGTGGTGTCTCCTCGGCTACACTCACTACTGTGGTGTCTCCTCGGCTACACTCACTACTGTGGTGTCTCCTTGGCTACACTCACTACTGTGGTGTCTCCTTGGCCACACTCACTACTGTGGTGTCTCCTCGGCTACACTCACTACTGTGGTGTCTCCTTGGCTACACTCACTACTGTGGTGTCTCCTCGGCCACACTCACTACTGTGGTGTCTCCTCGGCTACACTCACTACTGTGGTGTCTCCTTGGCCACACTCACTACTGTGGTGTCTCCTTGGCCACACTCACTACTGTGGTGTCTCCTTGGCTACACTCACTACTGTGGTGTCTCCTTGGCTACACTCACTACTGTGGTGTCTCCTTGGCCACACTCACTACTGTGGTGTCTCCTCGGCTACACTCACTACTGTGGTGTCTCCTTGGCTACACTCACTACTGTGGTGTCTCCTTGGCTACACTCACTACTGTGGTGTCTCCTTGACCACACTCACTACTGTGGTGTCTCCTTGGCTACACTCACTACTGTGGTGTCTCCTTGGCCACACTCACTACTGTGGTGTCTCCTCGGCTACACTCACTACTGTGGTGTCTCCTTGGCTACACTCACTACTGTGGTGTCTCCTTGGCTACACTCACTACTGTGGTGTCTCCTTGACCACACTCACTACTGTGGTGTCTCCTTGGCTACACTCACTACTGTGGTGTCGTCTTGGCTACACTCACTACTGTGGTGTCTCCTTGACCACACTCACTACTGTGGTGTCTCCTCGGCTACACCCACTACTGTGGTGTCTCCTTGGCTACACTCACTACTGTGGTGTCTCCTTGGCTACACTCACTACTGTGGTGTCTCCTCGGCCACACTCACTACTGTGGTGTCTCCTCGGCCACACTCACTACTGTGGTGTCTCCTTGGCTACACTCACTACTGTGGTGTCTCCTTGGCTACACTCACTACTGTGGTGTCTCCTTGACCACACTCACTACTGTGGTGTCTCCTTGGCTACACTCACTACTGTGGTGTCTCCTTGGCTACACTCACTACTGTGGTGTCTCCTTGGCTACACTCACTACTGTGGTGTCTCCTTGGCTACACTCACTACTGTGGTGTCTCCTCGGCTACACTCACTACTGTGGTGTCTCCTCGGCTACACCCACTACTGTGGTGTCTCCTTGGCTACACTCACTACTGTGGTGTCTCCTTGGCTACACTCACTACTGTGGTGTCTCCTTGGCTACACTCACTACTGTGGTGTCTCCTTGGCTACACTCACTACTGTGGTGTCTCCTTGGCTACACTCACTACTGTGGTGTCTCCTTGGCTACACTCACTACTGTGGTGTCTCCTCGGCTACACCCACTACTGTGGTGTCTCCTTGGCTACACTCACTACTGTGGTGTCTCCTTGGCTACACTCACTACTGTGGTGTCTCCTTGGCCACACTCACTACTGTGGTGTCTCCTCGGCCACACTCACTACTGTGGTGTCTCCTTGGCCACACTCACTACTGTGGTGTCTCCTTGGCTACACTCACTACTGTGGTGTCTCCTCGGCTACACTCACTACTGTGGTGTCTCCTCGGCTACACTCACTACTGTGGTGTCTCCTCGGCTACACTCACTACTGTGGTGTCTCCTTGGCCACACTCACTACTGTGGTGTCTCCTTGGCTACACTCACTACTGTGGTGTCTCCTCGGCTACACTCACTACTGTGGTGTCTCCTTGGCCACACTCACTACTGTGGTGTCTCCTTGGCTACACTCACTACTGTGGTGTCTCCTCGGCTACACTCACTACTGTGGTGTCTCCTTGGCTACACTCACTACTGTGGTGTCTCCTTGGCTACACTCACTACTGTGGTGTCTCCTCGGCTACACTCACTACTGTGGTGTCTCCTCGGCTACACCCACTACTGTGGTGTCTCCTTGGCTACACTTGTGCACAAATATGGTGTCGTCTTGGATGCACGTATGCACTACTACAGTGTCTTATGGGGTTTTCTTATCTCCTGCATATGTTCATTCTTTGTATGATGCTGCTTTTCTTTCTTACTCTTCCTCTCTCATTTCCTATTGCACTGCTCACTCTTTCTTTGCACTCATTCCTCTGCAATACAGTACTTACCCTTCCCTCAACTCTACATGCACTCTGTGCAAACATTAGTACAGTTGTACACCTTGCAAGTCAGCATTTAGATGTCTTGGACAAATTATTCAGTTTTTTATAATCTTTTCATTGGAAAGTTATGGCATTAGAAGGGAAGGGTGATTGTGCATTTGGTTCCCTGTCAAGACTTGGGTGCTCATGTAGGGAATAAGGTGTCAGAATTGATTTAAAATTTTTTTATTAAGACAAACTATAGTTCATTAATTTAAATATCATATAATTGGTCTTGCTAACTAGTGTTCTTTTCTCCTTTTTTTTTTGTGTTTTCCCAAACAGAGTCGACAAATCAAGGATAACAAATTGGTAAAGGCTGAACCAGAGAAACCTATTGTGAGTACTTGCTATATTTTTGTTTTGTTTTGGCACTTGTCATTGTTATACATGACGTGGAATCTTGCGTTAGCGTCATTAGTTTTATCGGTGTCATTATTCTTTATTAATGTTTTGTGTGTTGTGTTTGCTATAGTTGCCTTGTGAGGCTCTTGAGAAAATTGTTCATTGCACCCTTAAAAAAACAATAGCATTGGCATGTAAACAAATTTTGTACTGTGTATAAAATCAGTACTGTGTTTTTAATATTGAAAAAAAAAAATTGGCAAGAAAATATTGTTTATGAATGGTTGGAAATTGTGAACATTTTTAGAGGAACCTTTATAGCAATGTTGATAATTCTAACTTTGTTTTATTGTTCTGATGGTTGTGTATTAGCTGTATGGCATAATGAATATGCTTAGAGCTTGAGTATGTTTTCTTGTCTGTATACAAATTTTGTCAACATAATTATTTGTAATATTAGTTAATCAACTTCGTTGTGTTTATTGCTGGACAGTAGAAATATGTAGGTTGTATGGACATACGGTTTGGACAAAATTAGCAAGTCTTCATATTATTTTCACTGGAAAATGTTTGGAAGTTAAAAGCTTTTTGTTAAACAATTGGGAATTTCTAGGTTATCCTGATTTCCTCATCAACCTTAGTGCATTGTCAAACATGAAGTGAAACGGGCAGAACTGTCAAAAATAAATAGTTGCGTGAAGAAAGTCCTTTTCCCATTCATATTCTCTTTCCCCATTCAAAGTTCATGTTGTTGTTCATAGTTTATATACAGTATAACAACACTTTCTTTTCCGATAAATTTAAGTTATCACTTACTATTTCCAGTTAACTCTTAGCTTTGCAGTTTGAATATATGATATATTGTGACTGCACTGTACAAGACCAGTGAAATACACAGATAGTGCATAATAGTTGCCATGATACCTGGTTGATGGGGTTCTGGGAGTTGTTCTACTCCCCAAGCCCGGCCCGAGGCCAGGCTTGCCATGATTGACTACACTAGACCAGCCAGAGGCCCATCCAGGAATATATCTACAAAAGAAAAACCCAAGACTAGTGCACTAATTAAATACTGTAGGTCTCAAGTTCTGTAGTTTTTGTGGCTCCATTATTTCAATGTTGAGCATTTCCACCTGCATCATTAATCAATGATGTAACCCTAAAATATTGAATAGATAAGGGTGACAGGAAAGATTCTTAACTTTCTGATATGGCTTTATATTATCCCCTAATACAGTACTTGCCACATAAACCATTACTCCTCACCTTCAATTCTTGTAGACCTAATTTTGTTTTGTTCAACAACTAAACTAGTTGAGCTTGACCAATATGGGGCTCGATGTGTTTACATAAATTTTACGTAAATTGTGCAACTACAGTATTAGACATATCAAATGTATAATAGTGTAATAATGTGTAATAGTCGACAAAATAACATCCGGACCATCGACCGTGAGGAGCTCGGTCCCCCAGGGTACTGTGATTGCTCCGGTACTTTTTCGCATCCTCATATCGGACTTAGACAAGGACACTATTTATAACACTGTATCATCCTTTGCAGATGACACTAGGATTTTTTTGAATAGACAACAGAGAAAGCACAGCAAACCTCCAATCATATGTAAATCAGTCCTTTCAATGTGCTACAGAAAATAATATGGTATTTAATGAAGATAAGTTCCAGTTCTTGTGCCACGGAAAACATAAAAATATAAAAGCAGAAACCACGTACAAAAACGCAGTCATAACATAGAACGAAAAAGCAGTGTAAAGGATTTAGGTGTACTCATGTCAGAAGACCTTACCTTTAAAGATCACAATAAAGTAGCTGTCACAACTGCAAGAAATATACAGGATGGATAACAAGAACTTTTCCAACTAGAGACACTATACACATCTCTGTAGAGATGCTATATCAATGATGATGTTGACCAAACCACACACTAGAAAGTGAAGGGATGGCAACATCTCAGTCTGTCCTGGACCATTCTCAAGTTGATTATGTCTCAAGTCATTCACAATTGACTTGAGGATGGTCCAGGACGGACCGAAACGTCGTCGTCCCTTCACTTTCTAGTGTGTTGTTTGGTCAACATATTTCACCCACGTTATTGTGACTCCTCGTCTGCCAATGATGATACTCTTCAAGATGCTAGTGCGCTCTAGAGTGATATACTGCTGCACAATGACAGCCCCCTTTCCAAGCTGGAGAAATTGCTGATCTGGAGAGCATGAAGAGATCCTTTACTGTTAGAATCCACTTATTAAAACATCTTTACTATTTGGACCGACTGAAATGCCTAAATCTGTATTCTCTTGAGCATGCCTAAATCTGTGTTCTCTTGAGCACAGGCAGAAGAAATACATAATAATTTACACATGGAAAATAGTAGAGGGACTGGTCCCATACCTGCACACAGAAATAACACCACATGGGACCATGAGGCATGGCAGGATATGCAGAATACTCCCGTTGAAAAGCAGAGGTGCAATAGGTACTCTGAGAAAGAACTCTTATCAACATCAGAAACCCGAGACTGTTCAAAACGCTTCCACTGTACATAAGAGGCATAACTGGACCCCTCACAGTGTTTAAGAGAGAATTTGACAAGCACCTCCAAAGGATACCTGATCAACCAGGCTGTGTCTCATATACGTCAGGCTGTGAGCAGCCGCATCCAACAACCTGGTCAACCAGTACAGCAACCAGGAGGCCTGGTCGAAGACCGGGCAGCGGGGACACTAAGCCCCGAAAACACCTCAAGGTAAGGTATGGTTAATTGAAGGTCATCAAGAACGACAAAAACCTATGCCCGACACTGAAGGTGGCATTCTCCACTGCTTCTGCAGTAACTCAAGCTGTGGAAAAAGGTTTCAGATGCCTCGATATCTCAATAACCCCTTACACCATCAAGATAGAAAAGTACCTCCAATTAAAACAGATCACACAAGATCACAACTACAAGGCCTGTCAGGTGACCACCCAACTGTGCATCATCTGTAGAGAAGCTCACACTGCCGTCTCCCTGGACAGCCTATCAGGCAAGAAGAAATTCAAAAGATAATTACCACTACATCGTTCAGCTTGTGACCACAGCATTGCTTAAAAAATGTCATAATATATACAGTACAAGTAACTGCTATTATTTACTGATGATATTATTACAGAAGTGCCTGACTGGGATAAAGACTGTACAGTGTTCTGATATCAGTGAACACAATGCTGTTAAAGATGTTCACAGTGCTAGGCAGGTAGCCACTGCACACTGCCATTGTTTGGTCTAAGAATCTTGAAAAAACTTTTCATACTCCTTTACAAAATAAGCTTTTGGAAAATTATTCATTTACAGGATTTAGTGACCAGGATTCTGATAACGACTGCATTGTGGTGAGAATTACGACGTAGTGTGGTGGGAGGAGGAATGTTGAAGTGGGAGGTAGGGTCATCAGCTGACTCTACCTCATACCAGTGGCAGCCACTGGTATTGTTTGGACTCTCCATGTCCACTTAGTGGTCCATTATGATAACAAAAATGTAGATACAGGTACACTCTACCGGTACTTATATACAATGTGTGTATATAATGAAATAACAGCAAAAAGAGTATGTTGTTGGGAGGAACCATTTTGGGGAGGGAAGTGGTGGTGTCTGCTGGCTGGTGTGTGTGACTTGTCATGCAGTATGGTGGCAACTATGCTGTTTGGCCACCATATCAGCTTAGTGGTTCGTTATGATGAACAAAATATGTAGAAACTTGTATATACTGTGTATATAGTGTAATTAGTGTAATGACAGCAAAAATATTATTTTATTGTTTTATGAATATAATAATTGAATTACTAATATGCACACCATACTTTTGAGTATAGCGATGGTGGACACATTTTATTATTAAAATATATTGCACTATACACTATTGACTTAAGAAAATAGTATTTTCTCACTGTGCACTATTAATAATATAATAGTTCAGCAAAAAACTGGAAAAAATTAATGAGACATTTGAAATAATTAGGTAATAATATCTTTGTGGCAACTCCAGATTGACAGGTCATCCCCCCCTCCCTCCAGTGATTAAGGGTTAAGTGATGCTGTGGCCATAACCTGCACAGCTGTGCTGTGAACTGCATCTGCATGTGCCAACCTTAGTTGCTCTGGATGTACTGAGGTTCTCAGAGCCAGGAGGGAACCAATTTTTTTTTTTTTTTTTTTTTTAAGATGACATCTGGTTACTGAAGTTCGGGTGAACATGATGCGAGCCCTGTGTTTTTGTGGGAGTTTGGAATCTTGCTATATACTGTACTAACAAACATCGTATGTTGGGTGGTACACGCTGTACCTATGATATCATGGCTTGCACAATTGGAAGGGCAATTCCCGCTGTGATCTCTATGCAAGTTTGTTACCAGGAGAGTAATGTAGTAAAATTTCTTTGTGGTAAATATCATTTAGGTAAGTACAAATCTATCTTAACCCACTTTGGTAAATTGGTAAATTAAAAGAAATCAATTCATTTATTACTCAATTATTATTTTACATGTCAAATATGATAGAACAATACAAATTATACACACGGTATGTGACATACTGTGTGTATAATCACAGTGTGTGTGTGTGGGGTCACAAACACACACACTGTATTTGTTGCTGCTACCAGTAATGTCATGTGTTAGATAAGAAACATGTGTAAATAATAAGCATGTGTTATTATGAACTTGCAGCCAAAATTCACAAAATCATTCAAGTAGCCATAATTATACAGTGGTAGCCTATTTGACTATGGAGGAAATGCAGTCTAAAATAGGATACTTGATTACTCCTGTAAGCCACTTGTGCTCTCTAGGAATAGTGCAACTCAGTGAGAGTGAGTGTAGTATGACACTTTATTGTAGTGACATCTTAGAGAGGGCCAGTCTCTCTACATTCATTTGTAAATGTAGAGTCTGTCATTGAAATTTGTCTCGATTTGAAATTTGCACCAATGGGCTCTGCAAGCATGGCTTGTGTATAAGGCTGTGCTGCCGTGAGTCATGTTAGTTGCTGCTGTGCCTCATTATAGCCTTTGTGAGGTAATTAATGTGATGGGCAGTTACTGTACATAAAATATTAAGTAATCTCAACGTAGCGTTTTTGTCATTTATATTGTGGATGGAATTGGCTTTAACAGCCTCTTCCTTCAATGCATTCCACTTGCTGACCACCTATACGGGGAACAAGAGCTATTTACATCTCTCCAATCTCTTGATTGCATGTCCAGCTTCCATCAATGTCCCATTGTTCTACCTCTCTTTAACTGAAATTGGCTTCCTTTATCTACTTATCTATTCCTGTCAAGATCTTGTATATAGTCATATAAATACAGGTCCCCTATCTCCCTTACTCATTTTCATTACTATACACACACTTATTTTGGGCGAATTCAAGCACCTATTTATCTGTTCTCTCCTGAAGTTTGTCAGGGTCTTCTTGAATCTCTCTACAGTCATAATTTTTTTTGTTTTACTCTCCTCATCAACTTGACATTGACATTGTCTGAAAGTTTAGACATGTACAAGCTCACTCCCTCTGCAAGGTCATTCACATACATTAAAAGAGCAGTGGTCCTACTCTGCACTCAAGTACTGAGTCCTGTAGTAGTAAATTGGCTTTCTATACAATACCTTTTAAGACTGTGATGGACTCTTCTGCCCCTTTGTGTTTAGAAAGTGTGCAGCAATAGTAGTTTGTGTGCATGTTTATTTATTGCACTCGGTGAAGATTCTGGCTGCTTAAATTGCTGTAATTGGACAGTGTGTATAATACATTTGTATGGTGGTTATGTAAAGAATACATTTTTTTTTTACAATGATACCACCTGGATTGGATTGTATGAAATGCAAATGTTTTATTTTTGTATATTTAAAGCTTTTTAAGTTTTCAGATGCTAAGATAAGCATTGCACTCATAACTTGAAATGTTGGTAAATTGAAATGTTGGTAAATTTTATGATTAAAAGCTTACATGTTTGTGATAGCGTTATCAGATTATCCAGAGAACTGATTGTTCAATTAATTTTGTAATTTGTTTTAAGTTCAAAATGCAAGCATTATCTCTTGTGTGGTAAGCAAACTGGCAGCATTTGAAGGTAATCAATCATTAGGTTGGAATTCCATGTTTGCTATTTGTTTTTTGAGAGTTGTGCATCTGAAGGTGATGCCAGAGATGGTGATGGCCACTAACAGCCGCTCTTTTACCCCTTCCCTCCCTTGTGCTCTACCCCTCTGCTGCTGCTGCCTAGGTCAAGCCCATCGATGACCCAACTATATCCAGTGAACGACGCTCCGAATTTCTGCGATCATACAAGATAAAGAAAAAGACCCAAGCTAAGGAAGAACCACAGGTCCATGTCAGCCTATCGTTTTTGAAACTCGTCTTTTTTCTTGCATAGAATATTATGTGGAGAAGAATGATGTCAGTTTCATTGTTTATAGGTTCATTATGTTGGTGGAGGGAATGTATAAGTAGTATGGCTTCATTGCTATGATTTGGTGTATTATTTTGGGTGCACACACTTGCTAATTTTGTGCTCTATGATTTGCAGTCAGTATGGCCTACAACTGCACTTAATAATATGAACACCTTTGAATACCTTGAGAATTCAAGGTGTATTGGGTACTTAAGGTGTTTCTGGTACTTTGGTGCACTTCTGTTAAGGTGTACATTTAGAGAAGTTACTTGGCATGCATCTTTAAATAGTTGTGATTGTGGTAAACTGAGGACCCTTAGTTACAGTTATTGAAGTGCAATTTGGTTAAATTTAATGTCAAGATGTAATGTAAATGTTTGACACTAGGTCTTCAGTTTGCCAATTATTTGATAACATTTAGAACTGTTGAACTAACATGGCTTTAATTTAATATATATATATATATATATTAATTATATTATAATTTGTTTTGTTAAGATAAATAACTGTCACTGTATTTCATGCCAGATTTAGGAAATGGTTCTGATTGTAGAGCTTTCACATTTTACTGTATATGCTTACCCAATTCAATGATTATTTTGCTTGCAATTGGAGTATTTTCTGCATAGCTGTTCAGTAATAAGAGTATGCTACAACATAGATGATACATTTGTCTTGAGGGTTGGGATTTTTGAGCCAATGCAATAGTGGTCTACTATAAAGTTTTGTAGGTTATATGAACAGTTAAAGGTTTACAACTGCATGAATATTGTAGGGTTCTTGGTAACTGAGGGCAATTGGCATGTGTCTGTGTTACTAAACTTCAACTTGAGCCCACAGTATATATGAAATGGCTTGAACGACTTCAACAAGTTGATGAATTAAGACTTTTTTAAGTTCCCTTAAACTTTTTGCTGAAATGAGTGAGGTTAAGCTCACTTTTGAGTGACATGTATGGCTCCTTAAGTGTCATAGTTTCCCATAGATCCAGAATGCAGGCAGAGGAGTTGATTGGGCAGCTTAAACTTCATTGTTGTTTGGCCTCAAAATTGAATATTTCTTTTTGTCCATAATCATGTTGCATTGTAACTTGAGATGTTCTTGTAGTTGACTTGGCACTTAATATGGATGCATTATATTTACAGTAATGTGCCATCTTGTTTGAAATGTTCCCCAAAATGTTGTATTTGTTATCTACTGTTGAGTTGAAACATTGTTTTCTTTTTACAATTTGAGCTAGTTGTATGGTTAATATATTCCTATTATATCTGCTAGCAGACCTGATTATTTTTGCATGGGGTAAGAGTTACATATTGTAATTTTCAAGTATATTTATACTAACATTGTAACACTTACCACTATAATTCTTTCTTTAATTATATTTATTCATATTACATAAATAAGGTTATCTTGATTGGTTACCTTATCCGAGGATCAAGTGTTCCCATGGTTCGGTCTCCGATGAGGCCTCCTGGTTAAGTCTGGTCAATCTGGCTGTTGGACATTGCTGCATGTAGTCTAACATAAGAGTTACTGAAGCCAGTTCAGTTACTGTGTGGGTATTAAATGTAAGGCCTGTATGCATTGATAAGCTGTTAAATACCTGGTGTGGTGTCCATGCCCAGGTCATTCATATCATTTCCTATAATTCTCCCTTCTCATCTGCATTTACTTTTGATGGCCTTTCAAGTCTTAATACCACTCTCATCAATTAGGCATTTACTTTGATTTCATTCAGTAACCATTTGTCTACTCAGTTATGCAGTATATTGAGATTGTAACTTGCTCTCCTCATCAGTTTTTCAGCAGCTGGACACCCTCATAAAGACTGTGAAGCAGTATCCTCCCCCGCGATAACAGCTTGATGGTTAAATGCAAACTCAGAATACTGAGAAAAAAAAAATTGTACCACTTACGGGCTATTCATGCCCGTGCCACCTCTTGGGTGGCTTAATCTTCATCATCATCATCATCATCAGTTTTTCATCTCTAAACATTGACTTATGGGAGTTTACCTCTTTGTTTAATTCTGGAACAGCAAGGGCCCAAAGTTGGGCCATGTGGGCCCCACGTACTGCTGCTCTTAACATTTTTTCACTTTTTTTTTCCTTGTTCGGTGAGGCACCTGCCCACACACATTTTGGTCAACTTCATTTGTAATGTTAGCCATCTGGCAGTAAAGGTACGGTGAATTTACCCAGCCTCCCTCCCTTCTGTCTTTACCCAGACATTGGACTTAATGATGCCTGACAGATATGACCCCTCCTCTGGGTCACTTTTCTCTTACAAAGCCGGTGCTCCCCAGATCTGCACTCTGGCTTCCTCCACAGCTGCTTGTTCTGTAATTTAGAGCATCCTGTACGTCCCCTTTAATATCTTCATCACATTCACAGTTTACTGGTATTGCGTATGTTTACTAGTAGTTTACAAAGTAATCTAACAGCCTTCTTTAATATCCGTGGACGTAGGTGCCTTTGCTACAACTAGTTCTGTTGGGTATTCCTTTATCAAAATATTCCGTAAGAGAGATCATTAGATAAGGATATATCTAGGATTCAAGCTGATATATTGCACATTCTGGTCATGAGGTGCCAAGGGTTTATCCCTGGCCCATTTAAGTGGGTAATGGGGTCATAATGAGGATAGTATTAAGTTTCACTTTCTCATTCGTTTTTTTCTCACTTTAATCCTTGTGCACAAAGGCATTAACTAGGGCTGGAGCTGATTTATCGTCATTTTCCTGAACAAATGGTTAAGGTGTGAATGTTAAGGAAAATTTAAGTTTTTTTATTTGTTTGTAAATTGTGGTGTAACATCTTGATATTGCTTAATACGATTAAATGAAATTCAAGAAAAATAGATACGCGGTACTGTAATTTAAAACTCATGGCATGTCAGAGGCCAAGTTTTATGATATGTACTTTCAGTATGTAGTAGTACTTATTTATGGTTTGTAATGAATGATGAGGTTTTGGCCAAATCCACTTTTAGCATATCCTTAGCTTTGGGGACATTTTCTCTCCAGGTATGGTGCTAGTTGTACATTGCTCTTGTGATGGTCATTTTTTCTCCTGTAGGTTAAGTATTAACAGTATTATGGTTATTGGCTTACATTGTATTGTATTTTCTCTAGCATTTTTTATACATTTATCTAGAGAATTATGTATTCTGATCTGCAATGAATTTGGCTCATGTTTTTGAATCTTAGTGTTTCTAGATTTTGCTCAGGTAATTGTTGCATTCTTTCACATCAAGAATGTTGTTATTTCTTGAGAGTGATTTTGCATGCTACTTTTACTTCTCTTCACACATCCAGCTATGCAACATCTGATTTATTGGCTTATCAGAATGTATAATTTAATGGGGTAGAATTTAATCTATCCCATAATTTAATGGGGTAGAATTTTCCAGGGAGCAAATTAGAGTACAGAAGTGTGTTCAGATTTGGTTGTGATTTCAAAGATATGGTGTCTCATTGATATGTGCTCCATACATGGTCATTATGCTGGGGGTCAAATGACACTGTATATATCTACAGCTTCATTGTTTCTAGTTTTGAGAATAGCCAATATTATGTAGTCTGAACACAGATGTGACGAGACAATTCACTCGAAGCATTAACCCACAATATATGGCTAACCTCAAAATTATCAGCTTGCCTGTGTGCCAAAAAGAAAAAAAAATACTTTAATGGTTTAAAAAGCCGTAGAAGGAAGCCAGGTGGAGAGCTCAGTGCATCTCTTGACATCAAGTTAGATGTCATGTGCAAGGTTTGCTGACTGGTGTGGGAAACAGGACTCCTCTTGACCTTGGATGTTTACTCATTGGTTCTTTTATTAGTTTACACAGTAGTGATGAAAAACTGTAAAAATAATTAAGTGGTTTAGCATTTTATATATAGGAATATTGCATTGAAGCAAATTACTGGCACAGCTGAAAGGAATTGTCTTGCAACTCAGTGCTTTACTGTGATTGAGTTTGAGAATTGTGATTGAGAATGTTGTCCAGGCATGGCTTCAACTCTGGTGGCTAAAACTAGAGAATTACTTGACAATACTAGTAGTTGCAGGGCCTTACTACACGTTAACCTAAATCTCATGGTAAGCAGTTACAAAATGATAGCAAAATTTGTCATGGGTCTTGTTTAAATCCATTACATCCATTTAGATGTAGATTACCATAATTATTGGTAATAATAAGGATTTGTACATTAGTGTACAAATCGGGTAATAAATTTTGCGTTCAAAATCCATGAGATCAACAATGATGACTGCATGTTGAGGGTGAAGTAAATGACTAGACATTGTTCAAACACATGACTCCCACTGGTGCTTGTATGATGGTGTGCAAGGGGTTAATAGGACAACTTTAAGCCATTTATATTGAACAGTAATTGAAAGTACTGTAATCCCTTTGCTTGGATTTTATTGCATATAGTAATGAGGGGGGACTAGTTAATTCTTTAACTATCCTTTTAACTTCTCATTAATTAAATACTTATTCAGAGATTTTAATCTTAGTCTGAGGTTCATAAAACTGTTTTTTCTATTTGTTTCCAAATGCAATATAATTTAATGGTTTAACGTTCATAAACGGTAAATAGTTGTTTTCTTGTAGCTTCAGAAATGGAATGTTAGAGGGAATTATTATTCGGTCATGCAGTTCGCGAGGCCTAAATATTGCTGACTTAAAATACTTGTGTAAAGATTTTTTTGCACTTTGCTAAATTTACCCTGAGTATTTATACCCAACAGGTGAGCTCAACCATCCATGTGGACCCACGGCGTGTCCACCAGGTGCTTCCTGTGGTTGCTGCATCTAACCCAGTTGCATCACAAGATCCCAGACGAATAGGTGAAATGACTAGAGATCCTCGATTAAACATTGAAGGCAATCGTGATCCTAGAGTTGTTTTGGAGAATTCACGCGATCCCAGACTCAGTGCTGAAAATTCACGCGATCCACGACTCAATTCTGCCCTTTCCATGAACAGTGCAAAAATTCCGAAGTCAATTGAGCCACAGGTTACGTCCTCTCGTGACCCTCGAGTTGCCCACAGTGAGCAGGCAAAGGAAAAAGAGAAAGAAAAAGAAAAAGAGAAGAGAAAGAGAAGGAAAAACTTAAAGAACAAAGAAAGAGAAAGAAGGAATCTCCATCAAAACACAAAAAAGAAAAGGAATTAAAGCCGATAAAGTCAGAGACTCGGTCGACACGGTCAATTCATCGCGCGAAAGACAAGGAGAAAAAGGAGAAGGAATCTCCAGTTTCGTCGTCGTCATCTCCTAAACCAGACATAAATCAAATAAAGAAACCAGTAGAGGCATCTGCTCCAGATGTTTCTGACAACTCTACTACTTTCAAGAGCACCAGAAGGAACAAGCAGCGCACATACAAGCCTCGAGTGGAGAGTCCTGAAGATGGGAAGCAATCGTCACCTCGAAGGAAACGCCCTCATGAAGATGCTCTCTCTGACTCAGATGACAGTGACCATTATCAGGCTAATAGACCTAGCCCTGCATTGTACAATAAAACTGGTGAGTATAGGGGTAGGTTGGATTGGGAAGATGTGAACGGGAATGTGCACACCAGGCTCGCATTTGTCAGCCAAGATTGTTCACTTCAGGAGGAGGACTTCTATATCCTCAGCCGGAAGCTTTTTATACATGTAAACTTTGGATTTCGAGATTTTTATAATGTATTTTTATATTTATATTTTATATATATATTATTCGCAAGATTTAAAAATATATATAGTTTTACTTGTGCAAATATGTTTAAAAGGTTAAATGTTCTATATTATAAATCATATTTGTTTGTAAACATAGCTTATTGAAATAAATCCCATCCCTTATAGATTCGTTTTATAAACAGGGTTACTGGATTTCTTTTATGTACAGTATTACATTTAATTTCCATCACTTTTCAGATCAGACATAAGTAATTTATTGGGGGAGTTATAATATGAACATAAAACTATTGTGGGTGTCATGTGATCTTGGAGACATTTTTTTTATATTTTTTGCCATTTGTGAAAACTAAAAAGTATATTAGAAAGAGTTAGAAATCTTGTACATTGGTGCAGCGACCTGGATCTTCATGCAAATGGGGTGCTGCAGTTTTTTCCTTCTTTCCCGCTGGTGTTACATTATTACAATGTTTATATGAACCCGTGAAGTGGCAGAGTGCCTGAAGATTGGACAGATACACTGATTGTCCCCAGATACGAATTCAAAGGAAATCAGAGTGAATACAAGCTCCAAAGAAATAATACTTTGTATTAGTTTGAAAGGTATATGGTAGGGTAACGATTGTCGACATAAAAAATCTATTTGGTGCTCGGGATATCAGAGACAAGGATGATTAAATGAAAGTTTGTTCAGTATAGTAGAAAATAGAAATCGGTAGAAAATATCTTGGACGATGATGGTACGTTTTCTATTTATGGGTCTGGAGAAGGTATGGAGCTTAAAGTCTGTTGCATGTGAAGATGACTTGTGTGTAATGGTAAATTTCTTTTTCAGAAATTTACCATTACATTTACTGGTAAATTTCTTTTTAAGAAATTTGTGGATATTAGTTGGAATTTGTGAAGCAGCTGAACTTGTTATGAGTACAGGGTAATTGTGGATCAGAAGGAAAGTTATTGCTGTTGATATGTGTGGATACTGGTTGCATGCTAGTTGAACAGGAACTGTACACTTCTGCAATTATAATTTGAGAGGTTGGTCAGATAATACACAGGACCAGGAGTTACCGGAATATTAGGTCTATAGCAAGGTTACCTACCGAAGATCTGTAAATTAAACTCAAATTGGAAACACTCTCCCCCAAAAGATTACATGATCATTCCAATCATCACTAATGACCTTGGTTCCTCTTAGCAAAAGTGGCTGATAAAATTTAGTTGATCAATAGTACTAAAGTTCGAAAGTCAGTTAATGTATCTGGTGCATTTAAATCCTGTGCATGAAAAATTTGAAGATTCATTGAGAGAGAGATGGGTAAATTTTAATATATATATAAAATTAATTATAATATTAATTATATTAATATTATAATTATAAACTGAATTATATTATAAATTTATATAATAATTATAAAATTAATTTATATAATTTTAATTTATATAATAAAATTATAATGAGTGTCAGCAGACACTGTCTGAAAGGAGGATTAAGGCAGGAATTTCCTCAAATACTTTTGTATTTAATAATACATCTTCAGAAGGATGGATTTACAGTTCAGTGGGTGTGGATATATAGGCAGGAGATAGGTGAAATACAATGTCTTTAATGGGATATTAATAAGATATTTGTGAGATAAATGTGTGTTGAATCTACTCAAATTGCCCTTTAACTGATTAATCAAAAATGGATCCAAGTTATACAAACCACTGCTAATGTTCAAATTACATTATTTTGTAATCTGTATTAAAGCAGATTCAATAATGTTAATATGGAAAATGCTTTACTTCAAATGTTATTGAAGAAGCCATCTCCCAATCATTTTGGTGAGAACTTTCTGACAAATGATCAAACAAGGCATTAGACAATTGGCCATGTCCTACAGAGTATTTATGTTGCGAAATTCAAAATTTCAAATCTTCGGACGGATGCTCAACATAGAACCTATTACAGTCTTTACAATTTATTTTGTAAAATACAATTACCACTATGGGGACCGTTTCTTATAGTTTTCCAACAGTATTTTCATAACTAAACAATACATATATATATGTCTAAAAGTTTCAAGGCCTTGACAATATTTTTGAACTCTGAAAAATCTGATAAACATAGCTTTTCTTGGGCAAATTTTCTCACTGCATATATTATTAATTTATATGCACAATGTGCATTACTCCAGCAAACTTCCAAAAAACTCAGTGGGTAACAAAGCTTGAGACAAATGAATTCTTATTCTTCATCCAAGAATTCTGGACTAACAACCCGAAGATCTCTTAAATACATAGAGGAAAAAAATTATTGTTTCACATTATTTCCCAGGGCATAGATACATTGAACATAAGATAAATTATTCGTAGGCTTTCTGTAAACACTAAACTTAGTGAAAAATCATCCCTATGAATAAGTATATCTAAAAATGACAAATATTTATCAATTTGTCTCATCAACCAGAACTTTAGTAAACAAAGAACAAATGTTAAACTGATTAACTTGACATCAGTTAATCAGATTGATCGGACTATACAATTTGTTAACTAATTCAATAGAATTGGTCAAATGAGAAGATGCAATAGTTCCTAATAATGGGGACAGGATTTTGGCGAGCCATTTAGAATGCTTGTAAGAAATGGATTCTGCAGAACTGATGATAAACCTCATGGGATAGTTAGTCTTATGAGTCTTGACAAGGCCATACAGATATGGCAATGAAGGAAATGTGATAGTAAATTGATTAAGAAGACCTTTACGGTTTCTTAAAAACTTCCCCAAGCTGCCACTGAAGGACTTGGATGTCATAGAGAATTTTTCCAATTTTGGTGTATGTAGAAGAATCTTGGATTTCCCTGAAAGGTTCAGATGATGTTTACAGGAGTTAAAAGCTGACCCCTCCATTCATACAACTAAGGCTGACAAATCCAGCACTCTTGTTATTTTAAACAAGGAGGAATACATTTCCAAAATGAATGATCTCCAAGATTCTTCTACATGCACCAATCTCGGGAAAAATCCTCTTGATGACATCATCCAGTCATAGCAGCTTGAGGAAGTTTTTAAGAAACCATAAAGATCTTCTTGATCAATTTACTACCTCATTTCCTTCATTGCCATCTCCCTATGGCCTTGTCAAGACTCATAAGCCTGATGATGAGGCCTATCATCAGTTCTGTGGGATCCATTTCTTACAAGCTTTCTAAATGCCTCGCCAAAATCTTGTTAGGACATATTTCATCTTCTCATTTGACCAATTTTTTTGGATTACTTAACAAATAGAATAATGTTCCAATCAATCCTGATTGATTTATTCAGTTGTAATTTTAATTATTTAAAATAATCAGTTTTATATCTGAAATTATCTGAAATATAAAATTATCAGTTAATCAGTTTTGACGTTTGTTCTTTGTTTACCAAGGTTCCTGTTGATGATATTCTTGATTACCTTGCTTATGAATTAGTCAACCACGTATTACCTCTGCCAGCTGATGTTATTGTCAATCTCATTAAGCTGTGTTTAAAGGAATGTAAGTTTGCTTTTAAGAATGAGTATTATTTGCAGACTTTTGGGGTGGCAGTGGGGAATCCTTTATCGCCATTGCTTTCAAACTTGTACATGGAATTTTTTGAAAAGAAATTTGTTTAAAAAATTACCCCTGGAATTATTCCATGGTTTAGATATGTTGATGATATTTTGTGTATATGGCACACATACTACAAATTTACATTTGTAGTACATGTGTAAATATGCATAAATACTAGAAATGTAAATTCAGACGAATTTGTAGCTAAACTTAGTGATCAAGTCACCTCTATATTAATTGACTATAGAGACTGAAATTGATAAATGTTTGCCATTTTTATATATAATTATAAGGAAGATTTTTGCACTAAAGTTTAGTGATGGTGCGGTAAACAAGGGAGTGAACCAGAGTCAGAGGTTGTGGAAGCCACCTCCATACACAGTTTTAATGAGCAATACAATGTTGAGTGGAATAAATGCACCAGGTACTTATTAATAGGTAGGGTCCTAGGGCTATGTCACTCAGTATGTTTATGTAAGTGAATGCATGCATTAAATATCATTTATACCTGGAGAGAGTTCTGGGAGTTCTTCTATTCCCCAAGCCTGGCCCCTCTAACAAGGGGCTTGACTTGTGAGTACTTCGTCCAACAGGCTGTTGCTTGGAGTGGCGTGCAGAACCACATATCCACCATAGCCCGGTTGGTCTGGCACTTTTTGAAGAAAACTGTCTTTTTCTGTTGAAGGTGTCCATGTTGGTTCCAGCCGTATTTCTTGTACTCACTGGGAGTATGTTGAACAACTGTGGACCTCTGATGTTCATACAGAGTTCTCTGATTGTGCCTAAGGCACCTCTGCTCTTCACTGGTTCAATTCTGCATTTTCTTCCTTGTCGCTCACTCCAGTATGTCGTAAAATATCTTGGTAAATAAGACGGAAGAAACTGGAATAACTGGGTAGGTACTATATGGGATATGGAAGTACAGTACTCCAGAAGCAGGAAATTAGAACTTAGTTGAAAATGGGGAAAATAACAAGTGGTGTCTCTCAAAGCTGAATTATTGCTCTGCGGTACTTTGTGTAAATGACATACATAATGTTATTCCAAGGATGGATCAATTTGTCCTGCATATCGGTCCCTGACCATGTGTACTGATTAATGATTTGGTTGACCAGAATGTTAAATTCTAATGCACACTGTCTGACAAAAGAATCACTGCTTGGTTGATCAGGTTCTCTTTGTTAAGCTCCTCTTAAACAGGCATGCACCTGGTAGTAATGCCTCTTATACTTAAGGTAAGAGTGTTGAAAACCTTTGGGCCTTTGTTTACAGAGT